CAGCCAATTTTTCTCCATTTGACTGATGAAAACACTGGATAAATATCTCTGATGTAGATTAACAAAAATGCATAAGGATATTTCAATTCTATGTCAACATTAATTAGTGCTCCGCTCTAACATCTTCTGCCTTTGTTTTCATTTAAATGTAAATTCAAGTGAGTTTTACATTTTCGGGCCCTCTCTATTCTTATTGACAAATAAGATAAGAACATAGCAGCAGAGACTAGATCTTCCCACATGCCAATTAGCTGCATGATACTGCATAATTATTATGGGATTAAGATTAAGCAGGTAAAGCTAAAAATCCCTAATGGAAGCATATTCAGATAAGAAAGGACGATCTGGAGGCTATGAAAGCAAACTGCGGTCCGATCTGAAACCTAAACTGCAACTTCTACCCCCTCAGTGACTTGAATGCACATCATCACAAAACCTCAGACAAAAATCACACGTTTATATAAAACTGCCTGTCCAATACTGAGGAGTCTAGCCAAATGAGCCTAACAAGTCTGGAATAAATTTTTCTTTAAATGGTTCTATTGGCATCTACTTCTACAATTTAGTCAATCATATTAAGAGTTGTACAATCCTCACCAGTATTTTAGAATACTTCTCCTACTGATTGCTGTGAACTCCTCATTTCCCCCAACCCCTAGGTAATTATTAATCCAGTTACTGTCTCTTTAGGTCTACCTATTCTGAATTTCATATTCTATACAGAAAATCCGTTGGAAAAAAAACAGTGACTAGACAAATCATAACCACCAGCCAGCCCACGGGAGAAAGACAAGGCTCTGTACTCATAAAGAGTTAGTCTTGGAGACCCACAAAGGCAGTTCCATCCTGTCCTATAGGGTTCCTCTGAGTCAGCACTGACTGGATGGCAGAGAGTGAGACATCTGCCACCGTCGGCTCTACAGTGCTATCCGACAGCAAGGTGCTTCACATCCCTGGATTGTCGTCACAGGGCACTCACAAGAGGCAATCTCTGTGGGGCCCCTGAGAACCAGGTGTTCACAATTAAAGCGTTGATGCCATTCCGCCTTTAGCTCTGGATTATATTACTTACAATCCTTGCATCACACAGGCTGATGTGCCCCTTCTGTGTGGACTTAGTTCATGCCTCCCTTAGGGCTGCATGTGTGAAGACAAGCCTGTAAGACCCAGAGGCTATTCTTTTCTGATAGCCATGCTCCATTTGGCTTCTTCACTACACTCTGATTAGCAATCAGATCTTCATGAAAAGTGAGGATCAAGTAGGGCTACGTCACAGAACTAAGTGTTCTTAGATTAGGGCTAGAATTGAGTGCAAGCCTCACATCCATAGGAATGAATTTTTAAAAATTGATATTGGCACCACAGTAGCTACCCATGGCTATTGTTATGGATTAAATCGCATCCTCCAACCATAAGTGGATAGATGGGAACTAGAGTGGGTCATGGTGGTGGAAAGTCAGCAGTTCAATACCACCAGCTGTCTTTCTGTGGGAGAAAGATTTGCATCCTCAGCGGTTAGACTTTGCCCTGCAGGGTCACCACTGTACAGCCGTGGATTTGGTTATGTTAATGAAGCCCTGGGTCTTCAACCTAGCCCCGTCTGAGCCAGCGATGAATGGCACCTGGTGATCGCCCCCTGCCGGATGCCACCACCCTTTCGGACAGTTCCTCATGTGGTGGTGTCCCGCCCCAAGCATAAGATTATTTCCGTTGCTACTTCATAACTGTAATTTTGCTACTGCTATGAATCAGGTGACCCCTGTGAAAGTGCCATTCAACCCCCAAAGGGGTCGTGACCCACAGGTTGAGAACCACTGATCGAAGAACTCCCCACAGAACTGATAGAGTCTTGGCAGCCTCCTGATTTGTGAGGAAATTAATTTGTCCCACCAGCAAACTAAGCCAGCTACCATACGATAGGAGGGCAAGTCAAAAAGTACTGCTACTGGCGGCCCAGCTCATCCATGCACAGGTTTATGCCAAATGCACATGTTTAAATATGTCTCAGTGGATGGCTACAGATATTTGTCTTTATATTTGTCTTCGTCTCCTTCCCAAACCAAACTCCCTGCCTCTGTGGGTTTCTGAATCTGTAACTACAGGAGCAGAAAATCCCGTCTTTCTCCCCAAGAGCAACTGACGGTTTCAAACTGCTGACCTTGCAGTTAGCAGCCCAACTCATCACCATGACAACCCCCCCTCCCCAAGGCCCCATCCAAACAGCGGATGCATGATCATCACAGGGGCTTCATATGAAAGCTTAATAAGCTGGAAAGTGCACTAGTGAGAAAAAGCCAGGACAGTTGTAGCAGCGGCTGTGCTGTGAGAATCGCTTCAGGAAAGCCCATCCCTTTCAGCCTAGAGCCTCGACCTTGTCCCTGCAGATTTTTAAAACACTCTTTGAGTTTTAGAAAAAGGAACCCAGGGGCAGACTGTTCAAGACTGAACCGAACCCCCACCTTCGGTAGCATAGATGCCACAAAGCACTTGCTCCATCAGTTACCCTCAGAGACCATTTCCATCATCAGAGTCCCATGAGTACTGGACAGACTGTACTCAGATGCCGAAAGACTCATTCTTAAGCCCTGATTCTGTGACATTAGGGATGTCATGTAATTAGTAGGCAATTCAAGTCATGTCTGTGGCAAAAAACCAAAACCAAGTGTCCATCAGTGGAAGATTAACTAAAGAAATTAAGATTTAGCCACACAATAGAATGCTCTGGAGTAATTAAAAAGATTGAGTTACAACTAAATATTTTAGCACACAAAGATCTCCTCTAATATTGATAGAATAAAGCAAGCTGGATTAAGAAATGTCCAGTGCCATACCATTTGTGTAAAACAAGCAAACATGTAGAAAAAAATTAAAACAGATAAATGCAGCTTCCTCTAGGGTGGTGGCCAGAAGGTATTCTGCTCATTTATAAAATACAAAACAAGGCAGTTTAGTAAAAGATATTAGCATCTTTGAGGACATATGAATAGCAACCCATACCTTTCAGATAGCACTAAATGACCTTTCATATCCAAGACTCTAGAACAAGTACACATCTGCTACAATTCATAAATTCCTTTAGAAAATATTCTAACCTACAGAAGTAAACTCAGAGTCATTATCTTTAATACCCTATTGTGGTGAGTTAACTCTCCACTGTGCTAAAGTTCATTTATGTACCTTCATTCCCTGAGCCTTTATTTCAGCATCAGCTACCTTCGCCAGGGATAACCCTGCAGAGCACAGTGCTACTCTTGACACATTCAGCATTGCCAGGAGTTGGAAGCACTGACAATTGGGAGGGTAAATAAGATACAGGAAGACCCTGCCCTAAATCTGCGGATAGTCTTATCAAACAGGGACACAGTCAACACGTGCTGACAACAAAATAGAATTAAAGTCTTCGACTGGAAGTTTGAGGGGGAATTACGTACACAAAAGATGGGTAGGGGCAAAGTTATACCGGATGGTATAGAATTTGAATTTTTATCTTAAAGACAGCGGGAAGCCAGCGTTTTACATATGGAAAGGGCCACAGCCAGTTTTGTTTTCATAGAAGGCTACAGGAGAGAGAATGGAAGGATAGGAGTAATAAACTTGGCACAGTGAAGTGTGGACCCCTAAACGATGGAAATGGCATGGGGATGAACTTAAATTAATGCTTTCCTTAAATGCCTTTTTTTTAACAGTGCTGAAGCTCTTTAGCTTTCACAGGTCCAGGTCCACAGTCTATCTACAATTCCTAAGTCCCAAAACTCCAAACATAGAAAACATTATTTTGAAGCAGCAAAAGCTGAGTTATATGAACATGAGGATCTTTATTTTGCCTTATCTCATTCTACATGAATATTCATGAATTTCACTGCAGAAATATGTGACTATGGGTGCTGCCAGAAAGCACAGTAGGTTTCGTTAACAACACAATAAGCCGAAGCCACAGTAGACTCTGGCTCCCAGGGACCCAGGACAGAACGGAACCGCCCCCATTGCGTTTTCAAGTCTACGTTTCCTCGTGCAGAGCGTCTGGTGGGTTTGAACCACTGATAGGAGACCGTCAGCCACTGTGTCACTTGGGCTCTCATCCTTCTAAAATGTACTCAAAATATCAATTCAGGTACATATTTGGCCCCTAGGGTTTTGGATGAGAAATTGTAGACCTGAAAATGTCCAGTTTCCTTCCTGCTTCTAAAGGCACTTAAAATCTGCATACCACTTTTGACTATTTGGGGAGTGTGTGTGTGTGTGTTTGGTAAAGGAGGTGGGAAATCAGCTATTACTATTGATCTGGAGTTATGTTTGTGTGTTGATGCTGACCTTTAGATCTGCATTAGATCCATGGTATGTTCATTTTAAAGAGCATTTTGCCAATGTAGAGAAACTGCTAGCAGACTAACATTGTGTATCTGTGCCCCCTGGGGACTGACACTTACTTCTAACAAGGTGTCTGCTGGAAGGAGGCAGGGACATCAAAAAGGATCAATCCCAAGCCTTCACCTACAACCATCAACTTTCATTCATTTTTTTAAACCACCCACCCAGGGTTCTGCTATGGGATTTGAAGACTAATAATATATGATCCCAACCCATTCTCAGGGAAGTTATTCTACAGAGGCAGGGTGAGTCCACAATAGCAAAAGTGATGGCTTTTAAGTACTTATTAAAACATTAAACTAGAAATGAAGGGGAAAGGAGAAGGGAAAAAAACCAGAAGCTACTGAATGATGCAATGGAGGATAAGACTACACAAAGCATATTTAAGAAAACCCTGGGGATGAGTGAGATTTGAAGAGACAGGTGGATGAATAAGAATCTACTCATATCTCAATTAACATCTCTCATCGAGACTTAACTTATTCAACAAGAATTAATCTTGTTGGTTTAACCATGTCTGCTTTTAAATGACAACAGCCTAAGAGCCCTTGAGTTGCAAAGGCAAAATAGGAGGTTCTTGGTAGTTTTCAGTCCTTTTGAAATATTTGAGAAAGGGGCCAGAAAGGTCTTACCTTCAACACAAGATGGCTGTGCCCGAGTTGTGCCAGCCACCTGCCCTGGGAAGCAGGAACACTTGACCGTTTGGGACCGTTCTTCAATACGGTTCTTATTGCAGCATCTGTGCACAGCGACCACCTCACAGGTCCCTTGCTTGATCTGATGGTGGCCTAGAAGGTAACGAGAGAGAAAAACAGACCCGATGCTGTTAGGGGGCAGCGAAACCACCAAAACCATGAACAAAGACATCATTAAGTTTTCCAACTTCCTGAGCTATGCTTATGTAACGTTGTGGCTTTATTTTTATATGACAGTGGTCCTGTGGATTTTGTCTCCTGGTGTCACCCCCATGGTTAGGGTACCTTGCAGGGTACAAGCCTGCACTGGAAGATTATGAAGAGTTTGCAGAAGCAAGCTCGAGCTTAGCACTAAGTGGAATCACTCTCATGGCTGGCTGGACCTGAGTGAGCAATTCCCCCTTTTGAGCCTTCATTCTACTCACGTGGCAGCTCGAGGCAAGGAACATCTGACTGCTTACATGTTATGGACTGAGTTGTGTCCCCTAAAAAGATGTTGTGTTAATTCTGTTGGACCAGAGGAACAAATGCAGAGAGCCTCGTGTATGTATAGGAAAGAGCTCTATATCAAATAGTAATTATAGATTAAGGAAACATCCCAGCCCAGTCCAGATCAAGTCCATTTCTATATTAGCCTATGGATTCCTCTTCAGACTCACGCAGCACATGTAATGATACTGAATGCAGGAAGTTTACAGGCCAGTGGGTGAAAAGTCTTGTGGATCCAATGGCGGTGGAAGCATCTCCAGGGATCTGTTTGCCATCAGGGTGGCTCCATGTGGCTTTGTCAACAGGAATGTAAAGCAGAGAGAAGGAGTATGGTCCTCCTCCACAGAGAGAAAAAAGAGGAAGTTCCCAGAATCCTCATGAGAAGGCCATGCACACAAAGGCATCATTGGCTATAACCTGATTGACAGGCTAGATTCCGCCCCTTTCACTCATAATATCCTCAAGTTGACATGTGATTGTGTAACTACCACAGATGTGTTGAACTTCTCACCCCTGTACCTGTGAAGGTGACCCTGTTTCAGGTGGGTTCTGAACCTAACCCCTTTTTGAATGGTATCTTGTAAAACAGAACCGATACACATAGAAAACCCTGTGACAATTTGCCGGCAAACCCAAGGATGCCCATCAGATAGGACCCTCCCAAAGTAAGACAAGAAATGCCTGTTCTTTAAAGTCAGCACTAGGTAACTGAGACACCTGACAACTGTGGCATTCCACCATTCAAAAGCGCTCGTATGGGCCTTTGTACAGACAGGGTGAGCCTGGACCATCAACGGCAGAGAGCAGAAGTGTTGGTGCATCACTTCGAGTATACATGGCTTCTGTCTTGCGTGCTGCTCTCTCTCCGATCACTCACTCTGAGGAAGTCTCGCATGAGAGACTTGATGAAAAAGTCCTGTGGTGAAGACTCTTCCAACAGCCACACGGACTCCTTGTGCAGCCAGTTCCCTCCCACACGGAGCCAAAGTGAGTCTATGGGGCAACAGCAGCAGAGTGGCATAAGGGAAGGGATGTCATTTCCAGTATTACATCATAAATCAGCGATGCCTGTTCTCCGTCAGCACTCACACTGGGGGACAGGACAGGCCCGTGACATAAGGAACAAAAGCCTCTGTCAGCAGTCAGTCACAAGAGTGAGTGTGGGAAGACCCGCCAGCGCCAGCAGTCTACCTGCAATCTCACGAGAGACCCTACAGCAGAGCTGCCCAGGTTCTTGACCCTCAGGAACTTCAAGAGAGAATACATTTTGTAACACTAAGTATCGGGATAATGTTATGCAGTTGTAATGCACGCCAACTCAGACACCGCCTGGCTGGAGGGATTACCTTTGCTCAGATATAAATAATGTACACAAGATGGTAGAGGCAATGTTTAGACATTATAATGAAAGACAACATTTTTTAATACCCTCAAGCACCCTTGTGATTTTCAGATACACCCATTTACATATAAATCATTATATGAATTATATGGGATCTCATGTACTCATTAAAACTGGCTTCCCCAAGGACACCCACTGGTTGTTCAGCGTCTGCCTGGGTTCTATCACTACATGTGCTTCAAAGCAAAAAACTCACTTGGACTTTATCATCATGCCCTTCCCTGTCAGGCCATTTTAAAAGTTGGGAGCAGCGAAATTCAAATACTAACGAGAATAAAAATGAAGACAAAACTTCACTTGAAAAACACATAAAGGTAGCTGTGCCTAGAAGATTCAAACTACTAGACCAGTGAGAGAAAGTTTTCAAACTATGATTAAAACTATAAACCTAACTAAATGTTCACAAACGAGTGCTGATTTCCCCTGGGAAGCTGTATCTGATTGAAAAAAAAGCGTCATTACAAAGTCAGTAAAATAACATGGGAGTTTAGCACTGAGTCAGCCGAAGAGTGAGGCTTGGGCAGGGGTGGAGATTCTTCTCATCTCAGATAAGAACCTTTAGGTCAAACGTTTGCTGGCAGCTCGTCAGCAACTGCCCTCCCTGCTGGCCATCAGGCCTTAATTGGATTATTAAATGACCCTGGAATGTCCCTAATGGGAGCTGTTCTAAACCTGATTTTTTAAAAAGCTTTAGTAACATCTTGAATACTCCACTCAAGGAGTGATTTAGATGTTCAATGATGTCGTAGTTTGTTTAGAAGTGTGGTATTCATGAGTGTACAGGGTTGACTAAGGCCTCCCCAAAATTCATGTCCACTTACCCTGTTTCCCCGAAAGTAAGACATCCCTGAAAATAAGACCTACTTACAGTTTTTCCTCTTGCTGAAATTTAAGGCATCCCCCTGAAAATAAGACCTCCCCGAAAATAAGGGTTTGGATTGTTATGATGATGTTCCAGAAGATGATGACATGACTGTCATTGAATAAATGAGTAAATGTACCATAGATTGTTGTACATGGAAATAATGGTAGTATCAAGAAATTCTTGATACTGTAGGATTCACAGTTTGTCTGGTTATGCTGGTTTGTGATGACAACTACTACCGTACCATATACAGGACAACTACTACCGTACCATATACAGATAATACATTTCCTTTTATTTTATTCAACAATAAATGTGTACCATATTCTTCTTCATGGAAAAATAAGACATCCCCTGAAAATAAGACCTAGTGCATCTTTGGGAGCAAAAATTAATATAAGACACTGTCTTATTTTCGGGGAAACAGGGTAGAACTTCCAAATGTAACCTCATTCTGGATGCAATTCACTTAGGATCTTGAGATGAAATGATCCTCGAACTAGAGTAGGCCCAAGTTCCAATGAGTGGCTTCCTTCTGTGAGGAGAGGGGCACAGCAGCACGGAGGCTGTGTGAAGACAGACAGGTTGGCTTGGTGCATCTGCACGCTAAGGAAAGTCTGTGCTCTCAGCAGCTAAAAGAGAGGCACAGAGCAAACTCTCTTCTAAAGTCTTCAGAAGGACCCAGCCCTGCCCAAATCCAAAATGTTGAGAGAATATGTGTCTGTCATTTCCAGCTACCAGGTTGGTGGTATTTTGTTACGACAGCCCTAGGAAATGGTAATCCACTAATACAAATGTTTGTTGTGTTTTGCTATTCCAGTTGAGGATCTCGTTCCATACTGCCTCCGAATATCTAATTTTCTAGTCCAGGACTGGTTTTCTGACCTATTGAATCAACTTCACTAATTTGAGTAGGCTTCAAAAAATTTATGGAAAAAGTATCTTTCTAATCCTCCCCTGCCTCCCGCTCCAGACTTTTGGAAGCCCTTACAGTGTCCCAGTTGATGGCATTTATAATTGGTCTTGCTTTTCTTTATTAGAGGTGAGCAAGAAAGCAGTATCTATCATAATTTCACAATGGTTTCTATGATACATTGAAGTCATTGCTCTGATTCCTTGCAAAGATTAACCTGTATGACATCAAAAGTATTATGGGGCTAGTACTACTCTTACTCTTTTTACACATTTGACAGTATTACAGAATTTATCCAGCCTGTCGAAGGCTACAGAGCTAGAAATGGGAAAAAGTGGAATTTGAGTTCAAATTCTAATGTTCTCTCAAGATCCAGAGAAAACTTCCTTACTTACTAGCTAAACATAGACCAGGTAGAGCCAAAATGGTGCCCCTGCTGTAGTGAACACAAAACAGCTCTGTTTCTCGGTGAAACATATCATAGAGATATTACCAGAAATGTGTACAGTGGTCCTTTGAATAACAGGATGTCTCATCTCTGTCATCCAGAGCTCCTTGCAAACAGGAGATGAACACTTGAAAGGATCGAGGACATGAGGCCAATATGGACTACATGTGGAAATCACTGACTATACTGCTTGAGCAGCGCACACTCTACCAGCATACCAGCACAGTGTAAGGGTGGTGATGTTGGATGGGAAAACAATGAAATCTGAATGCAATCAAGAAACTTGGCTTTCACGGTAAGCTTCCTTGTTCATTATGCTTGGTAACAGCCACTTCAAATAAATTCACAACAGTGAATTTTCCCTCTTGAACAGTAGGGAAATATTTTGGTTAGGTTTCATCTTGAAAAATGAAGCAAGATTCATGTAGAGAATACCTTCGGAGTAAGTACAAAGTGGTAGTCGAAACTTCTCACAGCAAACAACTTTAGAGCTTAGCGTTCTGAGAATAGAAGGCAAAGGTATCTGGGAGCATGGCTATTTTCTGACGGAAGAATGGCCAGAGGGAAAATAAAACCCCATCATATCTTTGTACTGTTCATCCTTGTCAGTTTCTATTTATTTAACCAACACTTAGGTAGAGCATAGTATGTTCCAGCCACTGCTATCTACATTTTTTTTAAGCTGGCGAAACTTAAAATTATTGCCTGATTCACACCCATACTTCTGAATTCACACAATTACTTCTGAAATTGTAATCGAGTTGCCTATTTTCTTTTGAAAAAGCAGACTTAAAAACATGGGCATAAAATAACGTGGGGGGGGGGGGGGGGGGGGGGGGGGGGGGGGGGTGTTAATGACCATCTGGTGATCTGCCTGATGATGATTACAGCCAAGAACCCTTCTGAGGTAGCTCTGCTCAGTGACACCTGCGGTGTCCTAAGTCCCTGGAGCCACCAAGGGCACAACTGAAAGATG